AGCTGAAGATGCAATTTCACTTAGAGTCAAAGTCTGAAAACTAGAAAACTGAAAGTTCTTGAAGGGATTAAACATGGAGAGAAAAAAAGAAGAATAAAGAATCTTGTGAGGAACCCAGCATTACTGAATAAAAGGAGCAGAACACAAAAAACAAAACAAAGAAAGTATACTCTTGATACTCTTGAACTAAAACAGCAGTGGCAAAAAACCAACTGGGCCTACCAAGAGGGATACTGTGATCTTCTGGTTGAAACCTATCCAGGAAGCAATGTGAAGTTCCCAGAAACAGTGCACTGTGGGATCTCAGGTATCTTAACAGTGCAGGATCCAGTTTATTCTGCCTTGGTTGAAAGCAGTAGGGGCTGCTTTATAATAGGTTAGAGAAAGAGACAGGGGAAAAGGTGGAAAAAGTTGAAGCAGATAGTAGCATAGACTGGAAAAACACTCTTGCACTGGATACAATGTTATTGTCACATACAGACCAGGACCTCTCTTCTATATCCCTATACATACTACTTCCCAAAACTTTAATGTTACTTATGTGTCTAAATCCTCTGTCACTCATCAATCATGTATCTCTAATTTTTTGTTTCAGAAAAAAAGTTAAGCAAATTTCCAAAAAAAAGAGGAAAAACCTCTAGAGAATAAAAAGAGATGCAATTTAAGCAACTGAGGTGGTGTACAATAGCAATATTTAAAAAATGTTAAAAAAAATATGCTATTGTTTATCACTTTGATTGAAATATGATCATCAAACACCTACTTTAGAGTAGTTAAATTTACTTCTTTAGTCTCTCCTCCCTCCTTTCATATTTTGAGATGGGATATCATTCTGCATGCTCAGGCTGGCCTAGAATTTGCTAGGTAGTCCAAGCTGACCTGGAACTTTGAATCCTCAAGTCTCGGCCTCCTGGGAGTTAGTATTATAGGCACCTGTAATCATGTTTGGCTACAGTAGCCAATTTTTGTATAGTAAACAGGATAATACCTTTTTTTTATATTCAGCAATTTATAATCAGCTCTTAGGGAACTCCACTTGAAAGAGAAATAAATAAAAATTTAGTTGGGTCAATTTTTATTTTGTTGGCCCAGTTTGATTGGTTCTCATTTGTCTTCTGTTTACTGTCTTTTAAAGGCAGTACACAGAGACTACTAGCCTATTTTAGCACTGAATAGCTACAAGCAATTGATCCTAATGGTTTTAAGTTTAAGCATTTGGCAGGACTAGCTGACAAACTGATACTTTTCTTCTGAATTTTCCCCTCGTGGCCTAATTTCTTTTAACCTTTTATTATTCATTTTAAAAATACACATTTTTGACAAATTGTTTCTTACCTAGCCATTATGTAAGTCATAAATTTTAAAAAGGCAATGAGTTTTTGAACCTTTCGATTTGGCAACATAGTCTCTGTAAAGCTACTAGTAACAGCACTGTAACTGTGAATTCAGGCACAAGCAGCCACTCACTACTGATGGCTACTCTACTTTCAACTCATGCCAATTGCCAGAGAGGTGGCTGACGGGGCTCCAGGTCATTTCCACCTTTCCTTCCATAATCCCAGGGGAGAAGGGCTACTGCCAATGGGAAAACAACAAACCATGAGTTTCTGAATTTTATCCAACTAAAAGCTAATTATGTCAAAGAATCAGACAGCAGCAAAAGGAAGCTTAGAAGAGGAAGATCAAAGAGCACAATAATGGAAATTGGAATGACATTACAAATATTACCAAAAGGTATCTGAATTGCTTGAAAATTTTGTGTGGAGTCAGTCCTATGTCCAAAAAGGTATATAGAAAACATCTTTCTTACTACATAAGAAATTAAAATCACAACAACAACAACACCAAAAGCTCCAGCAAAGTAAAAGTTACTGTTGATTAGCCTAGACACCAAAGTAGCGCTTACAAGAGAAAAGTTCTAAGTTCCAAATGTGTCTACTATGTGGGTATAGTGAACAAGACACACATGGTCTAAGCTCCCACACCCAACAAATATTAAAACCTGAGAAGCAAGCAGTAGCCCTACAAAGTATAACAGACATACAGAAAATCAAGTGTTGAGGCAGAGAAGAGTTGGAAGTATACATTTTAAATAGTGGTGGAAGTCAGCAAAGAAGCTTTTATGACCAGCTCAGAAGAAAAGAAGGAACTAGGTATTTTAAGAGTAGGATAAAGAATAGTCCAAGAAATGGAGAATGAGGAAGTAAAGTGTACCTTGTTCAGGTACCTGAGAGACCACAAAGGCAAAACAAAAGTAAATCAGACAGGAAATGAAGTCTGAAGCATCAGTGACTGCAGAGGTTCATAAGCTATGGTGAAGTACTAGATTTTATTTTGATTTAGCGGAAAACTGCCAAGGAACTTGTAACAAAACCTACAATTTCAGAGTACAGCCTGTTAAGTGAGAACAGGTTTTCATAATTATGAAAGTAATTTTAAATGAAAAAAAAAGGTTGCTTGTGGAAATTCAGTTTATAATATTAACAGCTACCACAACCTTTCCCCTTGTACTCAGTAAACACCCTCCCTCCTGTGACAACCTGGCTCAAGTGCCCTGCTTTCACGTAGCCCTTATCTTACTTTGAAAATTTTCTGTTTGTAGAGCTTGATTTTTCTTTACCCCCTCCCCCCACAGTGCTCTCCAAGTTCCATGACCATGGGATCATTCCTGTCTTAACATTATTTCCCCCATAATCTTATACCGTATTTGACATTAGAACAAAAATCAATACTTACTGAATATCATTCTTCTAGTATTTAATGAGCATTTGGTTGTTGTAGGCCTAGAAAGACATGCCTACACTCTCAAGAAATGCAAAGGCTGTGTGAGTGGGGGCTGAGTGGGTTTTGTCCTCAACTAAATTATATCATATGCGAGGCAACAAGCTTTTTGGAGCATAAAGGGGACGTTACCTAACAAAGCATTTTCCTTCTGTAGGCATAGATATACATATACATATATATATATATATGTTCAACAAAGAAATAATATTTAATGAACACATTTACTTAAAAATCAGTCAATTTGTAAGTTTTCAAGTCATTCATGTAAGAACATATATAACAGCATCCCACCCACTTTATTCCTGTCGTGGATGAGATCTATGCATCTGATAAATATCACGCTTAAAACAACAAAAGCAGAAACAGAAAACTCAACTGTTGAGCAGATCGTAAGATAAACTTACGCAATATCCAACTTGTGTGAAATTCTAGAACTTTTCTTCCTCCCCCCACCATGCTTAAGGGTGCCAAGTTTTTCTCTGCATTGATTCAGCAGTATGTTTGCAATCTTGTCAGGGGAATCCAGTAGGATATAGCCTGCCCACCTCTGCCACTACTACAGTAAAATACTAAGAGCAGAACTATTAAGAAAGGGACCCTAGAACAAAGAGCAAAGGAAAGAGAAAGAAAAACAGGAGCAAGAAAAGAAAATTAATAAGATCACAAGATGAAGCTCAGCATTATTTAACAAATGATTTATTTGTTCTGTATCTAATTTTTATGTATCATAAAATTATTATGTTTAACATTTAACGAATGATACATAAAACAAGTTTGGGGGGAAGCTTTTTCTGTACACTTGGAAGCCAACAATACCGTGTAACACAGCTTATAGCTGGTGCTTTGCTGAAGTGAAATCTTGTGTTTCTTAAGAAGGGAAAGAACTTTCATAAGGGGTTGGGGAGTCTGAAGTCTTATTCATTTTTCTGTTCTTTAAAAAAGAGTAAAGCATAACCCTCAAAATGAACACCAGCACCATTTCTAGCCAGTTTAAAGAGCAAGTTATGTAGCCTAGAAAAGGAAGTGCTACGCAATAAAATGCACTTGCTGGTAATCTGAGGCAGATTTACCTAAAGATTCTTACAAAGGAAAACCAGTTGAGCTGTTCAAGGAACTTAGAATTTCTCAGCATAGATTAATACACAGCAAAATGATTTGTAACTTCAGACTTCTGGAATGCTTCCAACACCAATAGTCTTAAACTGGTTACGTTCCAAATGTCGTATACCGTTTACCTTGAGTTTGACTCAGTCAGTTCAACACACGTATTTGAACACATCACTGACAGTCCTAAAGTAGGAAGGAACTATTCTAACTACTCACGGATAAAGCCCTTATACTTCTTGAAAAGCAAGTATGGACTGTTACCTAGTGCCTGAAGAGTTTTAGCAAAACCATATATTCTTTAGCAATGATACAACATGGCAAAAACTGGCAACAATATGCCAAGCACCGAATAGCAAAAGTCAAACTCGGTTAAGATGTTAAGACTTGAGGTTCAGCCAGGCGTTCCTGGGAACACAGGCAAACCCAGGCAATCTCCTTCTAAGAACGCGACTGAAATAAACTCTAGCTGGCAATCTCTGAGCTTGTCAACATGGGCTGAAATTTCTAGAAAAGTTGGCTGAACAAGAAACGTGACCCAAGCCAGGAAACATTCACCGCCGCCTTCCAAAGGGAAGGTAAAGACCGCACAGGATGCTACACGGTTCGTGGACTCGGTAGCACCGGGCCAGGAGGGTGTGGACTTGCCAGGCAAGGTCGGTTCCGCGCGGCCAGCGCCCCAGCCCTTTGCTCGTCATGGGCTACCCTGGGGTGCTGACTCCCGCGACCCGCGGCTCGCACAGCGCGCAGGCGCCCCTCCACCTCCGACTCCAGAGCCCTCAGCACCGCCAGCGTCGCCCCTCGCCCTCCCCACAACCCCGCGCGCGAGGCCACCGGGCGCCAGCAAGGACGGCGGTCGCCTCAACTAGTCCGTCCGCAGCCACCCAGTTATGTGCAGCCCAGAGCCTCCTGCGCTTGCTCCACTCCTCCCGGGAGAAACGCACCCCACCCCGTCCGCGACATCCCCGCCACTTGCCCAGGCCGGGCCCCCGCAGCCTTACCCCGACCCAACAAGCACAAGCCTAGAAATAGAAACTCCGAGCCCAGGCAACTGAGTGACGGATAGGCGGCAGCACGTTCACGACACTTTCACGATTGCCGTAAAGCGGTGGCTCGGCGAGGGCTGCTGCGCGTCTCCGAGCTGCTCGGGAGCGCGCCCCGGGGCTCCGCCCTGACTCCCGTAGCGGCCTGGGTCTGCATCCTGAGGCTGGAGCTGGCGGGTCCCGGACAGGAAAGGAAGACCTAGAGGTGGGTGGGGGAGAATGGCTGGCCTAGCCCCGAGCCGGGGTGTCTAGCTGGTGGCTGTGTCGAAAGATGACTCTCAAGGTTCAGGCGAGGGCGCCGCGCGAGCCCCCATCGCCGCGCGGGGCGCGCGCCTCACCTGGCCCCGTGAGAGCTTCACGGTGCACGGAACCCTTCTCGGGCCAGCTCCGGGAACCCACAGGTCGCGGTGGAGGACGACCAGGCTGAGGCCTCCGCGCCCCACTTTTTCTCTCTTTGGAACCTCTACCACCAGCGTGCCCCCAAGTGGTGCTTCGTGTCAAGCTTCGTGTCGCTTTTATTTGCCTTGTCCCAGGCACAGCTCAGCTCTTGTACTACCAGACTTGGGGGGGGGGGGGGCGAGTATAAGAGGGAGAAATAAAAAAAAGTATTAACAACACTCTGCTTTTGTTCAAGCAGCTAACGAAACCTTTGAGTGCCTTTTGTCATCCCTGAGCCCTTATTTCTAGCTGGTGGGGGCTGGGGAAGTTCGAAACTTGACCTTGGGTTTACACGGAGCTCTGTCTGCAGCCCTTGATTGTGATTCAGGGAGTGGCCCCCATCTGAAAGGAAATTACTAGTCCCAGGAATCCCGGCAGTCGCCATCCTTTGAACAACAGCGAAACAGGAGTAAGTTTTCCCAATTTTCATTTATAAAGAAGTACCCAAGTGCGACAAATTCAAAGTCTCATTCCTTGGCCGTGTAACTGGAGGCTTTAGGATTAGCCATTAGAAAATATTACATTTGTCAAGAGGCCATATTAGAGTTCAGGAAAGTTATGCTTTGTTTGGGACTTGATGGTCCTGTGTATCTCTGAAAACGAGCCCGGGCCCCCTGTTTGTTCACTTGGAACATCCAGAGTTTGCCTTTTTTATATTCTTTAGCTGTCGCCACTTAGATGGGACAACATAAAGAAGTTCATCTTATTACCAATGACTCTTTAATGTGAAAAATAATTTAACAGCATTTCTGATTCATGGATCTTCAAAGAAAGCAGAGAAGATGGGTGAGAGATGCAAAATGCTTCGTTAACATTTTAACTTCAAGTAATTTTAAAACTTTCTTTTTTGGTATTGGAAATTGAACTTAAGACCTCTTGTTTGCTTTGCGTGTCTTTAAAGGGATTCTTGACTGTTTCTTAAAATGTTTAACCTCTATAATTCTAATCTGCTTGGTCTGAAATTGCTCTCAGACTTTAGCTTATGGGGGTGAAGGCCATGGGCAATAGTAGTCTTCCTCACCCATCCTGTGCGTTTTAGTTTCTCAGTTGTCTCTGGCAGACTGTTACAGTATGTTAAGCCCTGCCTTGCCTCTAAACTGTCTATTTAAGCTGCTAGAATCTTAAAAGCCTACAAATACATCATACCTCGAAGAAATTTATGCCCAGCCATGTACTGGTAGTTACCACTACCAAATTTATAAATCATTATGGTATTTTATACTCATATTTCAAATGAGAATACTGTATCCAGAAATTAAGTTAAATTGCCTGAAATCCAGTAACTGGAAAGTCATAATTGTGGGAAAAAAAAAAAAACCACAGTGTGTTTAGGGGTTAGGGAAATATAAACAATAAGAAAATTGACTTCCTGCAATTAAAACATTTTCTTAATTATGTGAGTGAGATTAAAGATTTCAAGCATCAGCTCCATAAAGAAAGCATTTTGTTCATAATGCTGCATTCTAATGTTCAGGCCCCAGATACTGCTTATTGACTAAGAACTGTGCTACTTAAAACCATGTGGTTGAAATAATAACATATTTCCTTTGTACATAGATTTCAATATTTGCGAAAGAAACAAGCTTGTGCCATTCTGAAGACAGAAAATTTGGGAACTCATAAAATAGGTAATTTATCTTTCACATTGTAAAAAGGAACAAGTATTGACTGACCACTTATAGTAGTTCCTAACATCTGTTATCTGACTTAGTATTTTAGCAAACCTCACTGAAACAGCTGTTCTTTTAGACTGCTTAACAAATAATACTGGCACTTCAGGATGGCTCAGCATGTAAGATAATCGCCAGCAAGTCTGAAGACCTGAGTTCAATCCCTTTGACACACGTAATAGAAGGAGAAAACATTCCTAAACAGTCCTGAAATTTATTCTCTGGCCACTTGGCATGTACCCCCTTACACACACACACACACACACACACACACACACACACCGATACATAAATGTAGCTTTAAAGTATTTGACTACTTAAAAGCGACTACTCATTGCACCACCATTGTGTTAGTTCCTTCCCTTGTCACAGTAACTTTTACAATAACTATCTAGCATCGTCTGCTGAAACTTTTCCATGATAAGGAAACGTTCTGTACTTTTATTGTCTTGTTGCCAGCCACTAGACTGGCTCTGAGCATTTGGATTGTGATGAATGCAACAGAGGAACTGAAATTTGCAATTTTATTACATATTAGTTTAAATAGGTACATGTCCTTTTCTAGTACTGCATGCATAGTGCATTCTGTGCTCAAAATACCTCCACTTGTCACAGGAGAAGCTGCCTCAGATGAGTTTTGGGGCTTGCCCAATATCATATAGTTTTACTTTTTAAAAGGTGTTATATAGGGGAATAGTTAATTTGGAAATGCAGATTGAATGGTTTGTGGTGGAGGGGAGCAGTTCAACCAGAAATGGAGAATCTAAACAAGAGTGGGTACACTGGACAGTGAGCAGAAGGATGGAAGAAGGCATAAGTGACTTACAGAATAGAATTGTCATTATTTAGGGATAACGTGAGGATTTTGAAGAGAGCCTTCTCTGCATGAGTGACTGTGAAGTCCTAAGAATCTAAGAAATGATAATGCTGCTTATTGAAATAAAAAATACAAGACCAGCTACTAGAGTTAAGATGATTTGATGTTCGTTTTTTGTTCATTCAGGCAGTATTAAGTGATGATGGATGATCCCTGTTCTTGCAATTGGTGAAGTGAATCGCTCATTCACTTCAGGTACCTTCCTAAACCTTTATACTATAGAAGTAAAGAACTAGAGAAGCGCAAGTTAGGTGCTTACTTGTCACGCAGAGAGATTGGCACAGGTTGTGTTTAGAAGACAGCTTTTCTGCTGTGTGTGTACATGTTTCTGTGTGTGCTGGTGCACATGCATGCATGTGGTTGTTGAGGACAGAGGACAATCTCAGCTGTCATACACCTTTTTAAAGAGAAAATGTCTCACTGGCCTGGAATGTGCCTTGTAGGTTAGGCTGACTAGTGAGCCCCAGGAATCCTGTCTTTTCCTCCTCTAAGCTATGCCCCACCTGGCTTTTATTTACATGGGTTTTGGCTTAAACTGAACTGTCTTTCCAGCCCTCTGCTGTGTTTTGAATATTAAGAAGGTTCTAAAAGAAGAAAAAAAACGACAGTAGAATAGGAAGGAAGCTATTCTACTAATAGTGGGATGAGCAAACTGTTTTGAGCATACCTTTTACCCAAACATCTAAAGTCTGAATAAATTATATTTTTTTAAATGCAAAGCACATTTTCTATGAAAGAAAACGGAATTCTTCAACCAGGCATCACCAGCCAGAACTTGGAGATAAGACAGCAGGAGGGCTTTAAGTTCAAAGTACCTTAGACAGTAGTGTACTCAAGGCCAGCCAGAACTAAATGCCAAAACATTATGTTAACCAACCACACTTCCCAAATCAAGAAAAGGGAAATCCTCCAGGCTGAAAAATCAAACAAGAACCAAAGCAAGAGAGATAAACTAGCTGTTACCTTCTTTGGAAGCATTTGACTTCTAACAGAAAAAGAACAGTGAAGGGCAGGGAATAAAATTCTGTTTCCTACTGGGACAGGAATGGAGGATTCCCAGTTGGATCTCCTGGTGACACAATCCTCACAGCATCTTTACAGTTTATGAAATGGTATTGAGATCAGTGAGTAATATTTTCGTAAGATAGAGTGCAAATATTTCCTCTTAATTACATGACTCACGTCCTCGGAACTGCCTCCTCTCAAGTTCAGCCAGGATCTCTCTCCACACACTCTGAATGGAAGGCCAGAAAAATCTCTCCCTCTCGGCAGAGAGAGACCACTGAAGTTTGTCTGTTTTCTCCACACGTCTAGGCAGAGGAATAAAGATACCATCTGAGAAGTGGAAACTGTGTGACGCCTACCATCATTCATTCCAGGTTCCAGCCCACAGTCTACATGGTCTGAAAAACTAGAAGCCAAGGCATTAACTCAAATTTGGCCCAGGTTAGTAACAAGTCCAAGTGCTTAGCAAACTCAAGGACAAACTCTCCGTGAATACTCCATTATTAATTTATCTTCCCCCCCTTCTCTCTCTCTCTCTCTCTCTCTCTCTCTCTCTCTCTCTCTCTCTCTCTGTGTGTGTGTGTGTACACATGCATGTTCCTTCCTGTTCTGCTATATCATGGTGCATATTTGAAGTTCAAAGAAAAACTTATAACAGTTCTCTCCTTCTGCCACATGCATTCTGGGACTCAAACTCAACATTAAATTCCTTAGAACTGGTCTTTAAAAACGTTTTCCACTCATAACTCTTTCTCATCAGGGAAATTTTTACATTCTGTTGGGTATATAGATACATGAGCTAGGTAAGCAAATCAAACATTAATAATAAAGTCATAAAGAAATTTATTTTCAAACAGTTCTTTGGTATACATATAGTTTTACCATTCAAATGCTAATGTGACAAATTAACTTGTTTAGTTTTACATTAAATATTTGTACGAAATAGTTGACACTCTAGTGCTGTGTTTCTCAACTTGTGAGTCTCACCCTCTGTGGTGTCAAACAGCCGTTTCACAGGGGCGGCCTAAGAACATCAGAAAACTCAGATATTTGCATTATGATTCATAACAGCAGCGAAATTACAGTGAAGAAGTAGCAACAAAAATAATTTTATGGTTGGGGATCGCCCCAAAATGAGGAACTGTATGAAAGAGCTGAAGCATGAGGAAGGGTGAGAAGCACTGCTCTAGGGCAGAGGACACCCTCTGTGTTTGTGGGAACGGGTAGATTTGATTTTATCCTACTTACACTTGTTTAGGTATTACAGGGTGGCAGAAGTCCACTTAGGGCCGTTTCATTCGCTAGCAATTTTTTCCTAGTCCCAAACTGAAATCATTTAATGACTTTTGGTTTGTTTGTTTTGGCTCAGATCTGTTAATCTGAAATTTTTAAAATCAAATATTCTAACACATTTCAATCAAGATGTACTAACCAGATGCTACACACTGAGGAATGACAGAAAAGTATGAAAGTATTTGTTTTCTGTAATTAAACCATTATGCTTTTTAAAGAACAGAAAACTTTGTACTTATAGTAAACCCTGATCACTAGCGCACAGTAGCTTTGAATCAGAGCAATCTGTACCTTGTGGGATCAGAGCTGAAGCTGAGTGGAACTTGTGCAATGCAAGCCCAGGCAAAAACCCAGGTATTTCTGGGTTCGTTACCCTGCTGAATTTGGATTACTGCTCGATTGTTGTTTGTTCAGATAACCTTTTCCTGTTACCAGAGTTTTCATGATGCGTAGTTTAAAGATCTAGAGTTTAGAATGCTTTCAGATTTAAGATCACACAAATACAAGCTCATGGTTGGAAGCCATAAAACACATGAAAGGGATCTTGCAGGGTACTTCAGTTTGTAGAGCACCCAACATGCAGGGAACCCTGGGTTAGATTCTGGGTACTGCGTGATGGCACATGCCTATAATTCTGGCACCTAAGTGATGGAGACAAGATGATCATGGGTTCATAAGCCTTCTTGACTACATAGGGAGTTCTTAGCCAGTCTAGGATAAAAAAAAAAAAAAAAAAAAAAAAAGCAGGTCTTTCTCCTTTTGGAGTTTTATAGTTAATATTGCTTTCTCGTTTTATAGGGAGGTCTATGATCAATTTTTAGTTATTGATTTGAAGAAGTATAGTGTATGGTTTATTATTTCATACATAGGTTTGTCCAGTACCTTTTGTGTACATGATAGCCTTTGCTTGATTATATTGCCTTTTATCATTTACTAAATAAAGATTAGTTGACTTTGTCTAACAAAAGAGAGAGAGCCCGGGAAGGGGAGGTGGGAGAAAGAGAGACAAAGAAAGACAAATAACTATTTCAAAAAAATTATTGGAGATGATATGCTGTCACATTGGTTTCTAAAAGATCAAACTCTTAAGAAAAGCACCTGTAAGACTTGATAAAACTAACAAATAATAGAACTGGATTCCTACAGACTTGAGAGAAAAACTATTGGAAACAGGAATTAAAGTAGCAAGTAAGAGCTGACTAAGTAAATGTACCCATCAGAGTCATTCTCTCACAAACCTACTGTGGAAAATGCACACATAGGATGTTAGCAGGGAAATGCTAAGAAAAATTAATAGATAAATGACAATATTGACAGAACATTAAGGACTGCCAGGAAAGGGAAACTATCTTTGAGATTATGACAGTTTAGAAAGGAAATCACTTGAATCAAGTTTATACTGGTAGCTTTTTGGAATAAAGGAAAAGAAACTTGCTTAGCAATGTAAATATACTTATTTTGCAACTAGTCATATGATTGAAGCAGATGACAAGTGGCAAGTGTCTGAGATTTCATTATTGGGAAAGTCAGTCTGAGACAAGGAAGTAGAAGATTGTGGAGCCTTATTCAAACTTAAGGAAATTGAGTTGGTATTTACAAAGTTGATGGGAAATACTAAGAACAATTACTTTTAATTTTAATGTATTTAACTTTTAACAAATTTCTAAAAATTTAAGTAAATGAAGATATAATTTACATTCTTGACTTGCTTTTGCAAAAGATCTTCAGTCTAGAGTTTAAAAAGAAAATGGCATGTAGTATGTATTTAAGTAATTTTTTAAACCCTTCGTATAGGAACTGGAAATATAATAGTGTCTAAAACTGTTTCTTGTTCTCCTAAAACTGAAATTAACTGAGAAAAAGCAAACAAAATGTTAGTGTTTAGTGTGATCCATGTCCTTGTTGGTACAGGCTGCTGCTGGAAACAGCAAGGACTTTGAGTTGAAGCTAGACTTGAAAAACGTGTAGAGGTTAGAGCTGGAGAGATGACTAAGCAATTCAGAGCACTGGCTTCTCTTCCAGAGAAGAGGGTTTAGTTTCAATTCCCAGCACCCATATAGCAGCTTACAACCATCTAACTGTAACCCCAGCTCCAGGGAATCCAACATACACAGACATATCTGCAGACAGAAGACTCAAACATAGAATAATAAATAATAAAAATGTGTAGAAGAGGTGTGGGAGTGATGATAGCCTCAGGTAGGCAGTGTGCTCCTCTGTGGTGTGCCTGCAGGCGCTGAGCCCAGGCTTTCTATGGTTGTATTCTGCTGACATGCCAGGTCACTGAGCACCCTGGGGCCCAGGTGGCTCATTTTTGTGCCATCCATGGACATATTACTCACAGGCAGGTCCAGCAAGTAGTTCTCTCTGGGTGAGGAAGTAAAGAAAGGTTTCTTGAAATAGCAGAGCAGCTGTATCTCAGTCATGGTGGGAACTCTGCTGTCATGCAAATATTCCTCCACTTCCCCTTTACCATCAACTTAGCCTTTTGCAAGCTTTCTCCCTATCAACTTCCCAGTCCAGGCTACTGTAGATCACAGTGGAAGCCCTGGTGCTTGCCAGATTTACCAGCAGCATGCCTTCCTTGTCATTCTGTTTCTGGCTGCCATGCTCCACTCATTGGTCTTGATAAAGGAAACCTGAACTGTGATCAGGGGTAGCCCTATGCTGGTCTTGTCACCCTGGAATTCCTGCATTTTTGCATTGTGAAGCCCTACATCCTTTGCTGTTTGTCTTCTCTCTACTATCCATAGTCACAGGTCAAACTCTAGACTATCTTCTTGAGAAGCTGATATGGCTCAGTTGATAGATGACTCATCTAGTATACCTGAAGCCCCGGGTTTAGTCCTTAGGACCTCGTCACCCAGATGTGGTGTGGTATACACTTAGAATCCCAATAATGAGGTAGCCAGCCTGGAATGCTTGAGACCTGTGTCAGAGAGAGAGAGAGAGGCACACCGACACATATGTAGGCAGGTCGGCTGAGACAGATGTCGGAGAGTCACTGACCTCTAGATTTCAAAGATTTAGTTTCAACTTGGATGACAAAAGAAAAAAAAAACATGTTTGGCTCCAAACACCACATTTCTTGTTTACAATGAGGGCCTGGATGAGAGGGATGAGGTCCAGAAAACCTAACCAGGGAAACTATGGGTCTGCTGCAGAATGTACCACAAACTGGCAATCCCCATCTGTCCACTGTAGCTCAAGAGCCTCTCTCCCCATCTAGGTGTCTTCTGTCCTGCATTTATGCTGTGGATTACAGGCATCCTCCGTCACTTCTGTTCACCTGATTTGTCTCTTTTGGAATTTGAACTGGAACTGCATTACAGAGGCATGATTGATTAATGTATGAGAATCCTAATCCTCTCATCATGCCTCAGTCTTTCCTTCTAAGGTTGGCTAGAGGCTACACTGCCCAGCCAACTCATCAGTATATAAGACATTTGCCAGTCTAGAGATTACAGAGATTTCAGTAACTTTCTTTTCACTAGGAAACAAAAGATCACATTCACTGATTTGACCAATTGTAGATTGAGAATATAAGGAGCGGGGGACCGGGGTGGGAGCCCAGCTGTATTATAGATGTAAGGATATTTTTATTATCTGAATAATACATTGTAACAACTATCTTATCAATATACATTATTATAATATAGACATGCCCTAAAGTGTATAGGGTATATGTAGGCTGTAGGCAAATCCTCTGTGTTTTAGATGAAGGACTTGAGCATTTTTGTAGTTTGGTATCAGTGAGGTACTGATGATGCAGAAGGGTAGCTTTATACTTAACAGCATCACAGGGTCCAGTTAGAAAATTACTCTAGGAATCTGGTGAAAGATGATAGTGGTTTATGTAGAGTTGTAGCAGTGACGATGGAGAGAGAAGGTAGACTGCGAAGAAATAATTGAAGAATCAGGATTGACACTGAAGTGGCATGAGGGGAGACTTGTAGGGCAAGAGTCCAGGTGTGGGGAGGGCGTGGCTAACAGCGAATAGAAAAGCTCATCCGTTACTGTTTCTCATTTGTCTCTTTTGCTGCAGACAACCTCTTTGAAATGTGGTGGTTTCAGCAAGGCCTCAGTTTCCTGCCGTCAGCACTTGTAATTTGGACATTTGCTACCTTTATCTTCTCATACATCACTGCGATAACACTCCACCATGTTGATCCTGCATTGCCTTACATCAGGTAGGTGGAACCCTGGCCATCCTTCAGGACTGGGATTGGAACACAGTCTAGGTAAGTGCCCCAGCACCATGCTGCTTTCGTAGTCTACATTGAATCTTGCCTTTCAAGTTTCATTTGAAAATTCAAATTTTTATGCTGCCATTGTAGCAAAGGGGAACATAAAATAGAACTTGCATTTGGTTCTCTCCATGCAATGGAGAAATACGGGAACAGTAGGGTGAGTCAATTAATAAATTCTAATCTCTCAGCAAGTTGTCTTTTAAATATGTGCTTGAACTTGCCTCAGAAACTAGAATTATAATTACTTTCCTCTTAAAAGTTAAAAGATGTTGCAAACATAGTAATATTGGGAAAATAAAGTAGTACTGGCAAGTATTTATTGATTCGTTGTGGGACAAGGTAATGTTCTGAGTACTCTTCATGCCTTAGGGAGTCAAATTCTTATACCATTCATCCATGTGACGTAGAGAAATTTATCCTCATTTAAGAAGAGAGGCTCTGTAGTCATCCTCTGTTACTGTAATATATATATGAGAAAAACAGTTTAAGGAGAAAAGGGTTGCTTTGTCTCCCAGTTGCCTGGGCAAGGCAAATGTCATGGCAATAGTACATAGGGAACAAAAGCAAAAGCAAGCAGGAAGGAGGTCAGAGCTTTGTGATTCCCTTTAAGTGTGTTCATCCCGTGACCTAAAGACCTCTTACTGGGCCTTACGTCTTAAAGGGCCCACCAACTACTCATAATGCTTCCCTGGAGACTAAACGTTGAGCATATTTAATAGCTGATATATCAGAGAAGCAAAGTTCCTGGAAAGTATGTATTTGCTCAATGATATACAACTCAATTCAGTGATGGAACCAAGACTTGTACCTGTGGTTTTACTCCAGGGACTGTGTTCTTACTCTTCAAAACCTGCTGGTGAGATATTTCTGAAACAATAGGTTATCAATGTTATATTTTTGACATTTCAAAACTACTAACAATTTAATTATGGGTGTCGCATGTACTCTTCATAACCACTTTTAAATTTTATTCTTAAGAGTGTTTATTCTGAAATGTGTGTGTACCACATACATACTTGGTGCCAGCCAGGTAAGTGCTCCAAAGCCCTTGGAACTGGAGTTACAGAGGGTGGTAAGCAGCCATGTGAGTGCTGGAGACTGAGCCAGGTTCTTTGTCAGAACAGCCAGTTAACAGCTGTGCTGCCTTTTAGCACCCTCACCCATCTTTTTAAAATAGAGAAGCAGCAAGCAGTTATCGCAGCAGATTTAACAAGATGATGTTGCTATAAGCAGGAAGTCTCTACGGCTGGCTAACTCAATCATTAAAAATGCTTGCAGTTACAGAGGACCCACGTTTGGTTCCCAGTGCCCACATAGAATAGCTCTCAGCTGCCTGCCACTCCAGTTTCAGGGGACTTGATGCCTTCTTCTGGCCCATACAGGCACACACACACATAAAAATAAATTCAAAATGAGAAATTTTTTGAAAACTGAAGTGGAAGTTCCTTCTTCACTCCAGGAGTCCCCACTTGCCTTGGTAGCTTGCCTTCCAGAGTTTGTTTTATTGTTCATGTTTTAAAAAAATTCTTTCAGCCAGGCAGTGGTGGCGCACACCTTTAAACCCATCACTCAGAGGCAGAGGCAGAGGCAGAGAGGCAGAGAGGCAGAGGCAGAGGCAGGTGGATCTCTGTGAGTTTGAGGCCAACCTGATCTACAGAGCGAATTCCAGGACAGGCTCCAAAGCTACTGAGAAAGCCTGTCACAAAAAACCAAAAAAATTAATAAATAAAAAATAAAAAAAAATTCTTTCTCCCTTTTCTTCTTTTCCTTTTTTTTACTGGTAATATGTTTTTGTTTCGATTTTTTTTGTTGTTGTTGTTTTGCTTTTGTTTTTTTTGTTGATATTGTTTTTCTCTGTATTTTTCACTTTTAAAAGTATTAAGATGTTAACATGGCCCCTCTGGCTTTTAGAAATAAGCTGACACTAAAGACCCCATTGCATAACTTTACATACTGTATAAAATGTGTGGTATTGCTGGATAGATGAGAAAGTAAAAAGACTGATATAACTAGACATGTTTATGCATGCACAAAGAGATTGTGAGAAAAATAGTAATTATGAGTGTTTCTAAGATACTAAAGTTTAAAAATATTTTTATACGAAAAAGGTGCATTAAATAGGGAGAGAGGAAGAGCTGAAGGATTAAATGGGGTTGGGGTGGTGAAAATATCATCCCTAAGTACAGCTCAGCTGGCTCTTGTGTTTTTATCTAAATGATTCCACCTGGAATCCAGCTGAAGCCTTTGAAACATATCTTAGAGACTTTGAATCAATTGCTTTTTTTTAACCTTTGTCTGAATAGTACTTTTTATCCTGTGTTTGTTGCAATTGTTTTCATTTCCTCATTTATTTCTGATAGATAATCTTTCTAACACAGAAAACAGCAAACTTTAAAAAAATTATAAACAAGAAGGTTCATTTGAGCCATTAAAATGGTCAAGTTCTTATGCTTCCCGCCATGATGATAATACACTGAATCTCTGAACCTGTAAGCCAGCTCCAATTAAATCGTTTCCTTTTTAAGAGTTGTCATGGTCATTGTGTCTCTTCACAGCAGTAAAAGCCCCAACTATAAGACAATAACTGACGAATGGTGTTTAATTAGTATTTTTAATGATCGGTTAATAAACAGGTATTAATTGAAGTACAGGCAATCAACAGCAGATACAAAGAGACAAGAGCTATGAAAGGGCCAGTGCTGCTTACAGAACATTTCGGTGAAGCTGATAAATTGATATATTTATGTTCCTAATTTTGGATAATTGTAGAATGTACATTTAGCATATGGAAAGATAAGCTTTTTTTTTTTAAAAAAAATGGTTTCTACATGGAAATATACATCTATATGGAAATGAAAAAAATCTGAAATGATAGAAAAAGGGAAGGCAAATATTTATAAACTGAAATTATGTTCTCCTCATAAATATATGAGTCAAGTTCAGGAGCTTTTAAAGGATACAACGTTTTGAAATAGCCCTTGTTACATATGGTAGGATATTAGTGTATGAAGCCTTCATACTTTGTCTTTCAGTGATACTGGTACAGTACCTCCAGAAAGATGCCTCTTTGGAGTAATGCTAAATATTGCTGCCGTTTTAGGTAAGTAATGGAAGTAGGAGTGGTTTTAACACTCAAATGAATAGTCAAATTGTTGTTTTCTTCTTTAAAATTGTATCACTGCTTATTCTCTCATTATACTTGAGAATGTGTTACTACTAAATTATCGATTATATCTATGTTCCTAAAAAAGAAAGAAAACTTTTGGTTATATAGTAGTAAACCTTGCTGCCTAACAAGAAAAAAAAAATCACAGGTAGAAAAGCCTAATTATAGAAATACACTTTGAAGAAATATTTATATGGTTATTTGACTTCTTATCTAAACAGAGGTTCCAAACACAGCGAAACATCCCTCAGGGCCTTTTTTTTTATTTTTTTTTGATTTTTTTTGAGACAGAGTTTCTCTGTGTAACAGTTCTGACTCTTCTGGAGCTCGCTTTGTAGACCAGACCGGACTTGAACTCCCTGAGATCCACCTGTCTCTGCCTCTCAAGTGCTGGGATTAAAGGCGTGCGCCACCAGCAGCCAGTGAAGATTTCTTGAACATCTCATGTTAGATCAAGAACTGTGGGTAAAACTGAGCACAACTAAATTCTTTTGTGAAAAACAGTTTAAAAGTTTAAGAGTAGAGATGGAATTATGTTTTCACTTTTGATTAATATTCTAATGCCACTGTAGTGAATTATATTCAGGCTCTTTTGTGAGCCAGATTTTTGTTAATTTAGTAAAATATTTTATAATCAATATTGTCGTTTAAAATAATTTCATCTGTCAATTCAATACATATTTGTTTGTATAAGAAAAGAAATTAGCACTGGCAAGATGGCTCAGGAGATAAAGGTATTTGCTGCTGAACATGACGACTTCGAGTTTGATCTCCAGAACCTACTGGGTGGGTGGAAAGAACAGCTCTCAAAGGCTGTCTAGTGATTACACACACATACACATTAAATAAGTAAATGAAAGTAAAAGAATATTGAAAAAATAGAAGTTAGAAAAAATATATCTTTTCTCTTCATACTTTTCAGAAACGTATCTACAAAGCATGTATCTGCCATGTTTATTATACTCCTGAGTTGTTTGGTAATAACTCTGCAGTGGAAAGTTTGATTTGGCCCTTTCTTGAATCATGAGCATGCAAAGCAGGCTCTGTTTTCTTGTGTAATTGATGGCTGGAATGAGGAGGAAAGCCCTTTGTTCTACCTATGCACGTCCCATCTGCATTCTGCTGTTGACTTTGATGCTGATCCCAAAAATATTATGGGTTTAATATAATAAGAATATCATGAGGGAATTTTTCCAGAATACATCACACTTATTATCTAAGTTTTATACTAAGTAATTTTAGGCATGAGGCCCAGGGAAGGCAAAAGGCTTGTTCAGGCACCCAGAGATTCAAGTCGTTCTATACTGTGTCTATAGAAGTTCTTTAAAATCTACAGCTGTTTTTGTGTCCTTCTTTCAAGTTAATGTCCAAAGCACAATCTGTGATTCTGGATAGCAGTTCAGCTTTGTGAACTCTTCTCTGGCGTTTTCTTACCCTGGTTACTCATTACTTCATTGTTTTTCAAATTCCCAGGTCTTGCTACCATGTATGTTCGTTACAAACAAGTTTATGCACTTAATCCTGAAGAGAACCTTATCATCAAATTCAACAAAGTTGGCCTTGTACTTGGGATACTGAGTTGTTTAGGACTCTGTCTTGTGGCAAATTTCCAGGTATGTTTTTTTTAACAAAACCAAAAAAAAATTTGGGTGTTTTCCCAGAATGCTTGGGTGTCTTTGGTAAAATGAAAGGCTGAGCTCTTTACTCGCATGCTGCTCCTGCCTCTTCGCCTAACAGAATTAAGCTGTTTTAGAAGCAGCTACTTTCAGTATTAGAGGAATCCACATTTAGTAATCTAGACAAACAAATTCTTAGAACTGTTCGTCAGTACAATCATGATAGTTACGAGACAGACATCGTTATACTTCGCAGGAGGTCACCTCAAGATCAGACGGAACTGATGGGCCTTATGTATTGCAGATCTAAACTTGGTGTTTTGTTTTCTGCATTCACTCTCATTCAGGTCCCCGTGCCAGTCCTCTTGGCTTCGTCATTTTGAATCAGATTACTCTCTTTTGCTTATACCTCCTCCTTCAACTAGAGACACCTTGAACATTCTGACTTTTACTCCTGGCTTTTTTTCTGACCCCTTTATCCACAGACCTAGCATCACCCAAATATCCCCATGTTCCTCTTCTTCCTGATGTAAGGTTTGCCACTTAAAGTGGTGAACATTATCACCCACCTTTTATCACCCTTATAATTTCTTTTAGGAAGGGGGTGCTTGGAGGAGAGTTTAGCGTTATTTTGAATGATGACTTACTGATTTCCCTCTAAATATTTTTTAAATGCTCCTGCTTCTCGTTATTTTCATTTTTCCGTCCTTTCTTGCCAGTTCCCTTTGAAAGAATTGCTCATCTGTATTCACTCTTACATTACTCAATCTCCATTTAAAAAAAAAAAGTTTTCTGTTGTCTTGCTTAAAGCTCCAAAGAATTTACATTAAGAAAAAATAATTTAATAAACTCAGATATTTAATCTGATCCAAGGTCCACTCTAATCAGGTTCTCTAGCCTCATTTTTGTATCGCTGTGTTCTTAACGTTGCCACTGTATATCATGCTATCCCATTTTGTTGTTCCTTGAATAAAGCAGGTTTATTTAACTCCTTTACATAAGTATTTGACCTAAGTAAGTCTAGGCCTCAGTGTGGATCCCACTTTCCTAGGAAGTCGTTTTGTTGGATCCTACTGCAAATATTCTGGGTTTTCTCTTTGTATCCTCTAGTCTTGGAAAGCTCATCCTTTAAACTTCTTACTGGGGTCTAATTTCTTTTTCATTGGCAGTTGAAATAGTTCCCTATTTATTTGCTAGTATATTTCTCTTTAATTATTAGTGCAGTGGTTTTCGCGCCCCATCTGACTCCAGCACCTAGCACACTGCTTCGTGCATGCCAGCTCTCTTTAATTATTTCGGAACTTTTTGAGAAACCCTGAAGGTACTAAAAAGGTTGGGGGAAAGATCTTTTATCATTTGATAGCTTGTATTCAATGGGAAGCCCAATAATTATTAGAATGTTGTATTTGAAAATACAATTTCATATAAATTGAATGCCTTTGAACAGGGTGTATATAATATTCAGCTGAACCCTGTCCCTCCTGTTTTCTTAGTCATTATGCTCCCTCTGTGCCTTTTCTACCAAAGGAAGTACAAGCACAGCCAACTAAAAAACCCAAAAAACAGTGATTCAACCAAAATTTGATTTAAAATTTGATTGTAGAAATTTGATATTGACAATTGTCACTTTTAAACAGATGGAAAATACGATGTTAGAAATTGAATGTAAGTAAATAGGGGAAGACATTATAATTTATAATAATCCCTATGGAATAATCAGTACAAACTAATAATAATCCCTGTGGCATAATCAGTAACAAACTCGTGCCATGAAGGCCTTAAATTACATTTGAATTTAAACTCTCTTAGCCTGATATCCCTAGCTCTTTGCTTTTAACCTATTTGCTTTTTTCTATTATTACCATTTTATACCTTACTGTGGAATGCCTTTATTTCTGAAGTTTATTTTTGTGTACCTTCACTAGAATAGAATAAACTGGGAGGGCTGAGTGTCTTTTTCATTCATTTACATATTAATGACTTTTTTTTTAGAATAAATTGTGTATATTTAATTCTTAATTAAGGTAAAATACATTTATTTTGAAACACACATACACATATGACCCAGAAAAAAAATCCACTCTTCTGTTACTAATCAACTGCCTGTATAGATTGCTAAGGTTGCTGTGAAGAGTGGAAACGTATGGATTATATTTGTATTTAGTATGTATTATGTCCATTCTGTGTCCCTTTAATCTCTAGGCAGTCAGAGTTTAAAGGATTTTCATACAAATTATGTCAAATGGCTCAGCTCCATTGTGTCTAACATGAAAATGGAGTGGTATCTTAAAATCCCTACAGCCTCACCGGTCATATTAATGACTTTTAAAAATATTTGACACTTAATAGAACCTAATAAAAATGTTAAATAAGTTATAAAAAGAAAACATGGATACTTGTTGCCATTTTCATTGTTGGTAAGTAAAGTCATCAGGTTTCACTATAATCTTCCAGTACTTCGGGGAAGTGATTTTGGAATCCGCAGAGCTTCTCCACCCAGTGAACGCTCTATTGAATTATCTGGCTTGTGCTTTAAAAGGATATATTGTTGATGTGTCTGAGTTCCTCTGGTTGACTGACGAATTTTTTTCTGCTTCTCAGAAATCAACACTATTTGTTGTACATGTATGTGGAGCTGTGCTTGCCTTTAGTATGGGTTCATTGTACATGTTTGTTCAAACCATCCTTTCCTACCAAATGCAACCTAAAATCCACAGCAAACAAGTCTTCTGGATCAGACTCCTGTTGGTTATCTGGTGTGGAGTAAGTGCACTAAGCAGTATCCTTTGTTATAAAGTGTGGTTTACTGTTCAAAGAGAATAGGAGGACAGAACAAGGGAGTAAGATAGGTACAATGTAAGTACAAGTTTGTTAATTTTAATATTTTTAGATTATTTTATGTGGATGGGTGTTTTGCCTTCATATATGCATGCGCACCATGTGCATACCTAGTAGTCTCTAGTATCAGAAGAGCGTGTCAGATACTGTGGAGTTGAACATATGGATGGATGTTTGCGACATACTAATGTGGGTGCTGGGAGTCAAATCTTGGTCCTCTGCAAGAGCAACATGTGCTTTTAACTGGTGAGACAGTACTTACTCCGGCACCTCCACCCCGTCCATTTAAAGTCACTCTAAGCTAAAGAATGTTGTGCAGTTGTACATGAAATTCAGACTGAAATTAAGTAATTGACCAGGAACAAAAATATTGTTTGGTATAGTCATACTTGAGAGAAATCAAGGAAGAGTTAGTATGCTCACTACAGAAAATTATTCAGTGAAAATTTATGGTGGAGCTGCTAGTTTTTGATCAGAAAGGAAAGGCTATGATGATGTAAACTATTTTCTGAGGGCCCAGTGAGTAGATCTTTATTTTTAATACTGCCATGTGACACTAAATCTTTAAAGAAATAGGATTAGACCATAGCAACAAATGTGTCAGCTAGCCTTTAATGTGGTTTTTGTTTTGTTCTGTTTATGGTTAAGATTTACAAATTTAAACCTTCGGCCCTCTGAGATTCTTCCTTGACTTTTTTATAGTGCTGACTTGCTCATCAATTTTGTACAGTAGTGATTTTGGTGCTGATATAGTACAGAAACTACACTGGAACCCTGAGGACAAAGTAAGAGCTTAATATAAAATGTTAATATAAAATAATATAGAAAGTGTGTGTGTGTAATTTTTTTTAAGGATTAATTTTAAATTTATATTTATGTGTATCTGTATGTCATGTATGCATGGATGCCTGCATTGGATTCCTTGGAGCTATATTTCATGCAAATATGAACTGCCCAACATGGGAGCTGGGAACCAAACTTGGTTCCTCTGGAAGAGCAGCAAGCACTCTTAACTGTTGAGCCCTCTCAACACTATATCATATATGTTAAAGTTAGTGTACAAACTCTAAAATAAGATCTTACGAAAGTTTATAGTAAGTATTCTTGAAATTTTCCTAGTGTGAGTTTATGAGTTTTATAAAGATACAGGTACACTCATGTATACTCCTGCACACTCTGAATGTGCCTGTGTGTGTATGACGCGTACTCCTGAAAGCGAGAGGATAATCTTGGGTGTCATTCCTCGGGTGCTATCCAACTTGTTTTTTGGGACAGAATCTCTCACTGGCCTAGAGTTTGCTGATGTTGCCATGCTGTTTGGCTACCATGCTCCAGCAAGCTGCCTAGTTCCACCTCCCAGTTCTAGGGTCAGAAGCATGGACCATTACGCTGACTTTTTTGTGTGGTTCTGGAGAGAGAATGAAGATCCTCATGTTGGCACAACAAGCACTACCAACTGAGCATTTCCCCAGGCTCCCTCCATGTATACTTTTAAAGGATTTATAGTGTTGGAGGTCAAACAAGGGTCTTGTACAAACTAGGCACAACTTGTTTTCTTGTTTTTGAGGGGTATATTTTAATTTCACTCTCTGGTCTGGCTGACTATAAATTTGTGATCTTCCTTTAGCCTCCTAAGTGTAAGGATTGCATATATTGACTTATGAGTCTTATGGCTCAAGGGAAAGAAGTAACTCCTCAGTTGTACAGTGTGGACTCTGTTTTGTCTTGGTTACTGAGTGGAAACTAACATTTGTTCTCAGTGAAACTCAGACATCTAGCATGGTTTAGGAGGTGTATTCCAAATAGGTACTGCAGTTCTCAAAACTCAAAGGTTGATTATCGACGGAAGATTGGGCTATAAGAATTTGATGTTGCTTAATTTGAGAAATACTATAGAGTCTTTGAATGAAACATCACAGAACTGCCCTGCTTTCCCCCTTTGACTCAGGGTTATGTGCTTCACATGGTCACCACTGCAGCAGAATGGTCTATGTCATTTTCCTTCTTTGGATTTTTCCTGACTTACATTCGTGATTTCCAGGTAAGGAAATAGTTTCAATTTCATTCAGTAAGACTTCATGTGGAATGCCAGAATATTTCATTGGCAGATTCCCTGTCCTTTTTGAAAATTAGCTGTTTAAAACTTGGCTTGAAAGACAGTGATACATGAAGAGTAACTTGTGGTGAAATTATTTCTGGGTTCGAGGAAGTAGTGTATTGCAAGCAGATTTCAGCCTTGATAATGGAATTACAACGCATATCTGAAGAAATTTTTGATAGACTTCTATAATCTGTGTGCATTCACATAGGCCCAGGCCTAACACATAGTTTTACAAAACACTATGAAAGCAAAACAAGAAACTTACTGAGGCCAGAAAGTGATTTTCCCGTTTCTCTTGGTGCTCAGGATGATGATGCCTGTGGCAGTGATTTCTGTTCCCCATTAGATTAGTTTTTATCTCACTGCATGAGGGAGTCTTTGAAGCACAAAATGATACTGATAAGGACCAAACTTCTCTATATAATTTTTTTTTTCTGTTTCAGAAAATTACTTTACGGGTGGAAGCCAATTTACATGGATTAACCCTCTATGACACTGCTCCTTGTCCTGTTACCAATGAAAGAACACCACTGCTTTCCAGAGACTTTTAATGAAGGGGTAAAATACTTCTGTGATAATTATGATTCTCAGGGATTTGAGAAAGACGCAGAAAAGTTGCTTATTATACTCTGAAAATTTGAATCAGTTAATCAAGGCTGACAGTGACATTAATGAACGATAATAATCAAGAGATGTGTAATGAGCCAACTGATCAGTTTTCTTAAAGGATGTCATTTAGATTATCTAAAAATATTTATGCCTAGACTTTTTAATCTCAGAAAATAAAACCAAAGGATAATACCATAGTAGTGTTTGCTACTTTATTGAAGAAAAACAGATTGAAATACACCAACTTGTTTGTATCACTGGCCTTAAATATTTTGTAAGTCATTTTAAAACCATCTTTTGTTAGGAGCACTTTTATGAGAGACATTTTCTATGACCCATAATAATCAGCATTGATTAGCAGACATTTAGAATCAGGGTTTGAAACTGATTGTATTTAATTTATTAACACATTTCTTAGAGTGCTTAAAAATGTGTTATCATTGTTGTGGAATCCCCGCCTGGGAATAGGAGATGGCCTGAGTTCTTCTGAGTTCTAAGATGGCTTAAATTTTGCACAAAAAAAAAAAAAATCAGTGGATATTTATTTGATTCTGGATACATGAGTACTAACAGATCTATCATACATGCTTGCAATAATTTCATAGATCTGGTCTCTGAGATTATACTTTTAATAGTGAAAGAGATATTTGTTACAAGTATGCTACCATCTTGTTCTTTATAAAAGTAAAGGTTAACAACTGATGACAACCTGAATTTTATATGTGGGACCCACATAATGGAAAGAAAAGACTCCTACCAATTATTCTCTGACCTCCATATGTGTATGCACATGCACAATACATAAATGTGAAAATAGATAACAAATTATTGATGTTCCTAAATAAGATTGTAATGTCTGTAGACAAAAGTAGATAGGATTAATAACAAATAAAAGTTACTCTACACTACAGTTAGGAGCTTCTTTGCTTTTTATTTATAGAAAATTTCATTACTTGTAAAAGTAGTTTTGAGTAGATAATTAACCTTTTTACTGGAATTTGATCTTTTTAGAATATAGATCTGAAGAAGAGACCAAACTCCAAAATTAAAACCTAACTATAAAATAATAGTAATATTCGAACTTTTTTTCTCCTGTCATGCAAATGATTGTAAAGTTTTTACTTAGATTTCTCTATAGGTAAAGGACAGTTTCTAGATCCCCATTAAGATTAAAAGGGAGAAAATAGTTGACCTAGAAAATGCTTGTAGTCTATCTGGTTTGTAAAAAAATCACATGGTTTATATTTTTAGAAGAGATGGTACTGAGACCAGAAGAAAAGATGGTGAGGAAAAGTTTTTTTTTTTTTTTTTTTTTTTTGATTTTTCGAGACAGGGTTTCTCCGTAGCTTTTGGTTCCTGTCCTGGAACTAGCTCTTGTAGGAAAAGTTTTAAATGTATCAAGGAAACTGTTTATGTGGTGGAACTGTAGACTTCAATTATAAGTTGTTAAGTACAAAAATGAGTAACTATTTTTGAAGAAATTTCTTAGACTAATGGAGAAATGGAGTATTTGCCTGTGCCATGCAACAGTGAACAAGGGAGACATTTCAGTAAACATTGATTGATTGACCGTTGCTACTACTAGAACAAATTGCACACAAATCATGAAAAGCTATTAATAAAAAACCATACTGTAACCACACATGGAAAGTGTCTTTTCCTGTGGTATCTCTCTACTACCAAGTCAGTTTATGAAGTTTCCTTGGTATGTTGAGCCGGAGAGTGATGGAGTGAAAATTCGTGAGGGTAAATGTGGTAAATGTGGGGAAGGCAAAGAGAAAAACAGGCTTGTTAGCATTACCCTTAGAGAGACAGTTCAGGCAAGAAAGAAATTGTTCTAAGGTGAATTGTTACTAGTTTGATAGTATTTAAATTCTACTAGTTAACATTTACCCTTTGAAGTAACAAAGACTGAAAACATGAATAGGTTTAAAAAAGGAATTATGAACCAAGAGATGTGGGGTATTGTCCCCTAACCTTAAGGCTGAAGTGATGATAGGCAGTGGCTCTCTTCCTCAGTATATCATCCCTGCTAGTACTGCCAAATACAAGTATGGATTAACAGATAAGAAAGATATTTTTCTTTTATCCCCCCTTTTTTTGTTTGTGGGGGATTTCAGGTGTTTAGCTTTCCAATTAGGAAATCTTAAAGTAATAAACTTGGCAGGTATTGAGAGTGAAAACTCTTATTTCCTTTTTGTCTTAGATACACAAACTATATTCTGTAGCTACCTCAATTTTATGTAGGCATGGGATTGTACTATAGAAATGTTAATGTATTTTATATTTAGAATTTAAAAATCTGGGATTCTCTTTCCTTGTGTTTTGTGTCTGTTGAATATTGTTGGGAACACTGTAAAAGATGACAGAATCAAAAGGTAGAAGTAGCCTAAGCTGCTTTACTTTTTTAAAAAACTTTCTTATGTTATGTAATTGCATCATTTCTCCCTTCCCTTTCATCATTCCAGACCATGCCATATACCCTTCCATGCTTTCTTTCAAGTTCATGACCTCTTTTGCCCATTGTTTTATAAGCCCGAGTGTGTGCACTTGTAAATGTGTATGTGTGTGTGGATAGGTATAAATCTGTAAGTATAACTTGCTCTGTTTGTATAATATTATTTTTATGTGTCTTTTCAGGGCTGACCATTTGGTATTGGATAGCCAGTAAATGTGCTCTTCTCTAGGGAAGACCATTTTTCCCTTTCTCAGCAAATTTCCTTTTGATCAAACTTGATATTTAGTACATTAATATTTATAATAAGGCCTTGTATATTTCTGGAATAGTGTCATATAGATATTTCATCAATGTATAAATAGATACTTTTCTTATCTCTTCTACAGTGACCAGTACAGGCTTACTGCAAACTGAAAGGTCAGGAAATATTGCCTTATAAAGTACCATGGAACTTTTATCATGTACATTTTGCCTCTTTGCAGGATATCCTGGTTTATTATGAAGGACATAATATAGAGCAGAGCTAAAACAAAGAAAAAAAACCTGAGACTTTTTTGAGACAGAGTCTGTGTGTGTTCCAGCTTGTTCTTAACTCATGGTGTAGCCTAGGCTAGACTCAGACCCAGGGTTTCCTTAGTCTCCCAAGTGATAGGGTTATTGGCTTGTACTACCATGCTTGTCTGTTAAGGTTTTTTAAGCACCTGTTTCAAACCTAAGGCTTGTTAATTGACTTAAGAAGAAAAGAGAAAATGAAAACAAAAATGTCCTGAGGTACTTAAAGCTAAAGACACCAATGGAATACAAAGAAAACCCCCCAGGTATCCTAAATTTTGCAGTCATGATATAATGCACAGAGAAATCTCTTGTTTAGAAAACTGACAGGTCACCTGAAAACCACAAAGATTCCAGAGTCTCCCCAGTGCACAAAGAGAGCCCATAGGAATAAAATGGTAGTCATAGAAGCCCATAGTAGTCATCACGGAATAAGGTGAGTCCATCTCTAGCAGGAGGCCAACTCCTCTGCAACTGCAGTCAGATTGCTTCTGATCCCACACATTGAAGCCTGACAATGGAATTGGTCTTTTTTATACTTCTGTCATTTGTAGAAAATATCTGACACAACGTTTAAAAAAAAATGCAAGGCGTAAAAGAACAGAAAACATTGATCTAAAGAGGAATCTGAGTAGAAGCAAACTATTAGAGACTAATAACTGTGGTAAAATGTTGAGGGAAGTAAATATGAAGACTCAAAATTGTAGTAAAGACTTGGAAAATTCAAGTGCAGTTCTAGAACCGAATTCCACAGTTGGTAAGTTTTGTTTTACTAGTATGAGTCACTTGATGAAGTTTTGTATCATCTCACCTGGCATATAAATCATCCCCTTGTTCCTGAATCATATTGTATATTTTACCTTTAGTGGATGTCCTGTTTGTCAAATGCAAACCTTGTGATTGAGGTGCCCTTTCTTTACTGGATGTGGCTCAAAACCACAAGTGCAGTAGTGATATCAATTTAGATATGTTAAGGAAAAGCCACAAATTAAGTCCTTTATGTAACAACATGAATGTTCATGACTTAATGCAGAAAGAAAAAATGATATGGTGAGGTTAGTAGGAATAAGTCTAGTCACAATATTGTAAAAGAAATCTTGCTAGTTTTGCTTTTACTTCAGTAGCTAAAGTAAAAAGTAGACGAGGCTGTAAATTTGTGTACATACTATGTAACAGTATATATAAGGTTCAGAATTATTTTCAGATATCCAGTGGAGATCTTGGAATATATCCCTAAAAAATGAGAATAGTTACTAATTAAAAGGCAAAGGTGGCTTTTATTTTATTCTTTTGTGTTTTCCTTTATTTTAAACTTTTGTTTTCAAATAATTATGTACCCTGTAGAAAGTTGCCAAGCAGTGTAAAATCCCATTTACTTTTACCTAATTTTTTCCCAGTTGTAATTTTTTTAATTTATTAGATTTAAAAAAAAATACCAATCCAAATACCCATTTTCTTCCCTCCCATTTCCTCCAAATTCCCTCCCACTCCACCCCATCTAATCCTAAGAGAGGGTAAAGTGCTTTGCTTTGTGGCCGGTCCAAGGCCCTCCCTACCGTATCTAGGCTGAGCAAGGTATACATCCAAAGAGAATTGGATCCCCAAAAGCCAGAACATGCAGTAGAGATAAATTCCAGTGCCACTGCCAGTTGTCCCTTAGTCTGCCCCAGCCATACAACTGTCAACCACATTGAGAAAGACAAGTGTGGTCCTATACTTGTTCCTTCCTGGTCCAGCTGGAATTGGTGAGCTCCCATTAGCTCAGGTAAACTGTTTGAATGGATGAACCCTTTATGGTCTTGACTGCTTTGCTCATATTCTCATTCCTTCCACTCTTCAACTGGACGTTGGGAGCTCAGTCCAGTGCTCCAGTGTGGGTCTCTGCTTCTGTTTCCATCTGTTTTTGAATAAAGGTTCTATGGTGATATTTAAGATAATCATCAGTCTGACTACAGGGCAAGGCCATTTCAGGCACCCACTCCTTTATTGCTTAGGGTCTTAGCTGGGGTCATCCTTTTGGATTCCTAGGAATTTTTCTAGAGCCAGATTTCTTGCTAACCCTATAATGGCTCCCTCAATCAAGATATCTCTTTCTTTGCTCTCATATCTGTCCTTCCTTCATCTTGACTCTTCCATTCCTTCAAGTTCTCTTCACCTCTCTTTCTCCCCTACTCTTCCTCTTCTACCCTTCCTTCTACCCCGCACCTGATGCTCCCAATTTTGTCACGTGATCTTGTCTGTTTCCAGTTTCCAGGTGATTCTGTATACGTTTTTCTTTGGGTTCACCTTATTACTTAGGTTCTCTAGGATTATAAAATACAAGCTCAATGTCCTTTGTTTATAGTTAGTATCCACTTATGAATGAGTACATACCATATTCATTTGGGGGGTCTGGGTTACCTCACTCAGGATAGTGTTTTCTAATTCCATCAGTTTGCTTGCAAAATGCAAGATGTCATTGGTTTTATACTGTTGGGTAGTACTTTAATGTATAAATGTGTTACACTTTTCTCTATCTATTCTTCAGTTGAATGCTGACTGAGGTTTGTATTTGGATTTTACTCTTTCTATTGAGATTTGCAATTATCTACAATGATGCCAAACAGTGGTGGTGCACACCTTTAATCCCAGCACTCAGGAGGTAGAGGCAGGCAGATCTCTGTGAGTTTGAGGCCAACTTGGTCTACAAGAGCTAGTTCCAGGACAGGCTCCAAAGCCACAGAGAAACCCTGTCTCGAAAAACAAGACAAAACAAACAAACAAAACAATTATCTTCAATGACTGGACCTATTTATACTCTCTGTTCTGTTTCTTTGCTTAATCAAAAGCCATATTGTCTTTCTTTATGTCATATATCTTTAATATTTATGTTGGTAATGGTAGACAGATCTCACTGTGGTCCAGGCCAGCCTGGTCTACGTAGCAAGATCTTGTCTTGATAGGAAAAAAAAATTACAATTACCAACAAAAACAGCAAAAAGAGCTAGGATTTCAGTTGTGTCTCCACCATGACTACTTCTATTTGTTTTCACTTTTGTTTTTATATTTAGTAGTTTTGAGACAGGATCTTGTTGTTTATGTGTTGCCTGTAACTCAGTGTATCCTATGCTGACCACCCCTCTTCCAGCACTATAGTGACCATGAACAGCTTTTACAAGGGTGCCAAGGCTCTTTATGCTTGTACATCAGGCACTATTTATAATAAGCCCCTGAGGTGTAAACTTAACATTTTCTCAATTTTTCTAAATTTATGCCATTTTATTGACATCTTAAGGATTTGCTGACTTTTAAAATGAGGCACTGTTCCTGACCTCTTCACCTAACTAACCCTTCCCCCACTTCCTTCAAGGTTTAGCCCTGTGAATTTTCCTGACATTGCCCATCCATGTCTTCTCCCCAGCCCAACAGATCTACCCTGGGTGTCCCTACATATAATGTCTTGACCTAATCTTGCCATAACCTGCCTGCACCACATACCTCTAAGTAGGTATCTACCAAGACCTGCACTACCTGCTATTACCCACAGATCTTTTTTACCCTACACCTAACTCCTCTGTTCAGTTAAATGTTTCACATGATCCTTTATGGCCTAGCCCCATGAATCTCCCTCATGCTCCCCAACATACCATATCTA